GACTAAGTGAGACAGTGGAACTAAATCATGAGGCACATGGTAAGTGCCCCATAAATATGAGGCTGAAGGGACCCTCAAGGATTGGGGGTCTATCTTTTTTTCATCTCCTCTCAAATCTGTATCCACAGTTAGCACATTTCCAACAGCATCATCAATATTAAGGGATTCCTTAGTCCTTTCCATGACCTCCCCCAAATTTGCAATTAAGTCTTTGTTAAAATTGGAATGTAGATTTAATGTCCTGTGGTTCGAGGCAATGTCACATAGCCTTGTTACTCTGGATAAAATCAGGGAAAACAGATAAATATATTTTCTATAGTGTGTTTTTTTTCTTCTTTTTCTTACTTGTGGAAACCATGATGACAATATAGCATCATGATGAAGATATAGATCTGGGGGTCCATAGGATGTGGTTTTGATTTCTGAACGCTCCATTCATTGGCTTTGTGACCTTGGTTCTCTGCTTCAATTTCATCAAGTCAGTTGGGAATGCTCTTAGCTGTAAGTAGCAACTGGCAACAGTAACCCAACAGGGACTTCAACAAACAGGTTATTTTTTCTCTCACTTAAAAGGCTGGCAGTTTCTGGGGCGCCTGGGTGACTCAGTTGGCTGGGAATCCGACTTCGGCTCAGGTCATGATCTCACAGTCCGTGGGTTCAAGCCCCGTGTCGGGCTCTGTGCTGACAGCTCAGAGCCTGGAGCTGCTTCGGATTCTGTGTCTCCCTCTCTCTCTGCCCCTCCCCCGCTCACTCTGTCTCTGTCTCTCAAAATAAAATAAAGACATAAAAAAAAAAAAGGCAGGCAGTTCCTATTCTGTTTCTACAGCTTAAGAATGTCAGAGCTCAGCTGCTCTCAGCCCTTGTTGATTTTCGCAGGATGTGGAACCCACAGCCCTCTCCCGGCAGGGGGACTCGGGACATCGTGTCCTTCCGAAGACAGTGGATCTGCCCAGCAATCTCCTGTCTGTGCTCCATTGGTCTGAATTGTGTCATATTGCCAAGTTGCAAGGGAGCTTGGAGATGGCTGCAGGGTGGATGTGGGTGAAAGGAAGGCGGCTATCGTGAGGGTTCCGTGAGATAACGCATCTATCTGGGACAGGGATACCTGATGTCAGGGTCCTGCAGTGAGTAAGCATCAGACACAGGACACAAACGTTCTTCTACCAGACTGGCAGCCTCATGAGGGGAGGGCTGTTCTCTCTTTCCTGTTTATTATCCTAGCTCGATGCCTAGAATGTAGATAAACATAGGGTGCTGCTCAATAAAATATCTGATAAGTGAATGAATCAGTTAATGATAATTTGATGCATTTTTTTCAGCGTACTGTCCTTCATCATTTTCTCAAAAAACATTTATTCGATGCCTATTAAATAAACAGCAGAATATGAGAGCAAGCTTGTTTATTACTTGCTGTGTAATGAATTGCCCCCAACTGTAGCACCTTCACGTAACAAACATTTCTTATCTCTTGCAGTTTCTGAGGTCAGGAATCACTGATTGCAGCTAGAATGGATGGTTTCAGCCCAGGGTGCCTTACAAGCAGTCAAGATGTTGGCGGACGCTGCCAGCATCTCTCGGCTTGACTAAGTAAAATTGGAGGATCTCCTTCCAATATGGTGCACTTGCATGGCACACTTGGCTGGATGCTGCCCGAGTGTTCTGATGACATGGCAGGTGGCTTCCCGACGGAAGGAACAAGGGGGACACAGCAACGTGTTTTATGAACGGTCTTCAGTGCCACCCATTGTCACTTACACAATATTCCACTTGCCAGGAACAAGTCCTTAGGTCCGGCCTACATTCAAAGGGAAAGCAAATAGCTTCTGCCTTTTGAAGCAGAGGCATGTCCATGCATTTGCTGACACATTTTAGAAGCACCATGGTCTGTTCTTTTCAACGAAGTTCTACCATCAAGATATGCTTGGCTCATACAGTAGGTGTCTAATCACGGCTCATTCCAGCTTAGTAAGCCTTTAAGTTTAGAAGCTTTCCTTGATAAAAAGAATACAAAATTAGTTATAGAAGTTAATATTTAAGGGGCGCCTGTGTGGCTCAGTTGGTTAAGCATCTCACTTCGGGTCAGGTCATGCTCTCATGGTTCATGAATTTGAGCTCTGCATCAGGCTCTCCGCTGTCCGTGTGGAGTCTGCTTGCGTATCTCTCTCTCCCTCTCTCTGCCCCTCGCCTTCTGGTTCCCCCTCTCTCCCTCTCTCTTTCAATAAGTAAACTTAAAAAAATAATAAAAGTTCATATTTAATTTGAATAAAAGAAGAAAATACTACTGCAAATTACAAATTTCTTTTAGCTGAAAAATATTTTTACTTTTGCCAATTTGGAATGTTTTCTTTCGGCTTCACTGTGCATCACCAGTTAGGTGATGTATGTTTTTAGGATGATTTTTGTCAAATATGGGAAAACGTTTGTCAATTTTCTTCCATACAGGGCCTCTTGAAGATTTCAGGGCAATTCAGGTTTTCCTGGGCGGTGATGAATCTTAAATACTCCTTGAATGATGATACCCAATAACCAGTTTGTAAAGTTCGGAAACATGCATTTCATGTTACTTCTGTCTATGCGTATTTTATTTTAATTAAAAAGATTTTTTTAAATGTTTTATTTAGTTCTGGGGGTGGGGGGCAGTGTGAGCAGGGGACGGTCAGAGAGAGAGGGAGACACAGAATCAGAAGCAGGCTCCAGGCTCTGAGCTGTGAGCACAGAGCCCGATGCGGGGCTTGAACCCACGAACTGTGAGATCATGACCTGAGCCGAAGTCAGACGCTTAACACGACTGAGCCCCCCAGGCGCCCCTGTCTATGTGGTATTTTAGCAGGAACGTGATTTGGTTGTTGTTTTTTTCTTTCTGGGTGATCATATCATGTGCTCCTCTGTGTTAATTACATGGTTGGAAGGGTCACTTTTATGTGCCAACTTGACTGGATCATGGAGTACTCCAGATATTTGATTAATGTTATTTCTGGGTGTGTCTGGGAGGGTGTTTCCAGATGAAATTAGCATCTGAGTCCTGAGACTCAGGAAAGCACTTTGCCTCCCTTGGTGTGGCTGGGCATCGTCTGATCCGTGGGAGTCCTGCCTAGAACAAAAAGGCAGAGGAAGGCAGAATTTCACCCTTCCTTCCTGGTGGCATGAGCTGGGACATCAATCTTTTTCTGCCTCCAGTGCTCCGGGTGCTCAGGGCATTTTGAGCTCAGGCTCAATTACGCCAGCTCTCCAAGGTGTCCAGCCTGCAGATGGCAAATCATGAGACGTCTCAGCCCCCACAACTGGGTGAACCCATTAGGGAGAGAGTTTCTCCTTAAACATATATATTCTATAGTTTCTATTTTGCTGGAGAATCTTAACACAGCAATTAAAAACTCCAATAGCTTGGGGTGCTTGGGTGGCTCAGCTGGTTAAATATTCGACTTTGGCTCAGGTCACGATACCTCGGTTTGAGGGTTCGAGCCCCGCATCGGGCTCTGTGCTGACAGCTCGGAGCCTGGAGCCTGTTTTGGATCCTGTGTTGCCCTCTCTCTCTGCTCCTCTCCCACTTGTGTACACACTCTCTCTGTCTCTCTCAAAAATAAATAAATTAACTTAACAGAAACCCCAAATAGTGTGTCATTAGTTTTATTCAAAATTCTCTCTTGTTCTTAGCGGTATGTCTTATACTGTATTTTGACAGAAAACTCACCAGAGTTCCAAGGTCGAAATGCATCAGATGTCACAATATTTCCATCGTATTCCAAAATAATTCCAACCTGATATGTTGGAAATACACTAAATATGAAAATCCTATGTGTCTTCACACACGTACTTACTATTTGTAGAAATGTCCCAATGGAATTCCAATGTCAATGTCCACATGTTCAGTTTTATTGGAATGCAGCCACTCATCTGTTTACTTACCGTGTATGTATTACTATAATGTCATAGTTGAGTCACTGTGACAGAGACCTCAAGGCCTCTAAGGCCTAAAATATTTACCATTAGGAGCTTTACAAACAAAGGTGTTGACTAACCCCTGTCCTACGGCAAATTAGTAAGACACACTCTTGCCCTTTCAGTTTCACTGAAGCTGTGGGCATTTTCCCGTCCCTTGCACATACTTAACTGGATGCTGCCTCAAGACACCCTCCCTGCTCTTCTTTGTGCCCAGAACATTCTTCTCTCTCCTGGCCATTTTTTTGTCTGATCATTCTCATATTTCAGACAACCTCACCCAACTAGAGAAGCCATCTCTGATCTCCTGTCCAAAACAGGTCCTCTCTTTTGTTCTTAACTGTATGTCCCTGTTGTGTTTGTTTGTTTGTTCATTCGTTTTCCATCCTGGTCCTGCCCGTGGTTTGTAAAGATTGATGAGTCTTCTTGTTAAGTCCCCTGTCAACAAAAACCAGATCTGTCCTACCATGGGGGTAAGTGGGTGGGCTCTGAAATCAGAAAGCCTGCGCCTGAACCCCAGCTCTGTCCCTTACAAGCCATGGAAATGTGGATAAGTCATTTATTCTTTTGGTGCCTCACTTTTCGTATCTGTCAATGGGAGATCATCAACAGTGAGCAGCAATAAATTTTGAGGCTCCAAGGAGCTGATGTAGGGAAAGCTCTAAGGACAGCAGGTGGCCTGTGGTGAGCGTGTGGCTCAACCCTGTATCTACAAGGTCTAGCACGAAAGAACCCAGGAGCATTTCTTTAACGAGCGAACTATTTTTATTAGAGGAAGGATTTGTGGAATGAAAGTTGTATCTAGCGCTGGATAAATAAATGAGTACCTTAGACCTCTTTTATTTTTTTAAAAAATTCCTAACACTTTCTAATCATTTTTTGAGAGACAGGATGAGTGGGGGAAGGTCAGAGAAAGCGGGAGGCACAGAATCTGAGGTAGGCTCCAGGCTCAGAGCTGTCAGCACAGAGCCGGATGCCAAGACTGGCTCACTGACCGTGAGATCATGACCTGAACTGAAGTTGGATGCCCAACCGACTGAGCCACCCAGGTGCCCCAGACCTCTTTTATTCTATAGCCATATGCTACTTCACTTAAGCACTATGGTCCTCAAATTTCATTTAGTGCCTGAAAGGCTATAATTGACTTTGATTTACATAACAAAGTCAAATCAGGAAGACAAGGTTTTGAAGGATCATTTAAAATTACATTTGCTACCCGCCCCCATCCTCTGCAATTCAGTAACTGTACTGGAATGGCCATGGCCAGATTAAGATCTAGAAGGATCATGGGATCTCCATCCATCAGCTATTGCCGTAATCATGCCATGTAACAAATCATCCCCAAGCTCATTGGCTTACAACAGTAATTACTTAGTCTCACACAAACATCTGCAAGTTGGTAGGTGTTCGGATGACTTAACTGCTCTGGGCTGGGCTGGCCATGGTGGGGCACATGCAAGTCTGCTCCAGGTACTTTTCGTCCTTGGATGCACAGGCGCACACTCCTCATGGCAATGTTGGAAGAGCGAGTGAGCATGGGCCAGCACGCAAACACACTTCAAGGCTTGGCTGGAATCGTGCTCGCTCACGACCTATCAACCAGCAAAATCACACGGCCAAGTCCAACATCCGTGGTGCACAGAAGTATATTCCATCCAAAGCAGGAATGGGGGAGGCATATTTTCTGAATAATAATCCCCACTCTCTCAGGACCTGTACCCAAATGGAAATGAAAAGAAATCAAATTCGAATAAAAAATAAAGTTGTATTTTTCAAAGAGGTAAAAGCGTGTGTATGCTGAAGTTAAAAAGGACTTTTTGGAATAGTCTGGTTGTCTCTGATGTGCCTGGGGAGAGGTTGTGGTCGGGTCCCCGCTCTTCTGGACTTCGAAGCATGTGTCTAGTCTGCACGCTGGGCAATTCGGCACTGATGACAATTCCTCCTTGTATCCTGGTACCCAGCACACAGTAGGGATCTGATAAAACTAGTTGAAGGTAGTTGTTAGATTCTATCAATAAACAGCGGTGGCCTCAATACATGATAGGTCTATTGGCTTCATATAGATTCAGGTACATTGTAAGTATGACATGTTTCTACATCAAAGCTTCAAGAGTAGTTATGGTACACACGATGTTGAACGATGACCCCATACCTTGTGGGTCTCCAAGTAGGAAGGGGGCTGCCTCTGGTTTTCTGTTCTTTTTGTCTCTCTGTCTGCAACACAAATGAAATGACGTTCTCATCTCATGTTGCTCAAGGGAAAATGCATGCCTGGAAAATAATCAACAGAGAGGAGAATGTAGACAAGTAAATAGACAGTTTAGAGAATATAAGATAAAATGTGAATTAAAGCCAGCTTTCAGAACCCCACATTTTCCTTTCATCCACTGTTTGTTCAATAATTACACAGCCAATTACAACTTGCATAAGTGATTTCATATACCCATTAGTCTATAAATATCTACAGTGTATATGTATTTATAGATAAAGAGGGAGAGATGATCATGCCCGAGCAAATATGTTCTGACATAGGAATAACTTTGCAAGTACCTATTACGTTCAGATTCTGTCAATGCTGGTTTTTCCTGACCCAGAAGAATTCACACGGTGTTATGGATTTTGAATCATCATAACTTCCTTTGGTTGAGAGCCTAACATGAGCCACACACTGAGTTAAGTGAGATCTCTCTCTCTCTCTCTCTCTCTCTCTCTCTCTCCGTATGCATTTTTTCTAACCTATGTAAGAGTAGTGCCACGGTAAAAGGAATCCCCATTTTACAGAAGGGAACACAGAGACTCAGTAAATATCTTGAGCCTGTATTGGAGTTCTACCGTGCTTCACTAGAAAATAGGGCTCTGTGTACAGAGAGGGTGGTGGGAGGGCGATCAGATGGCATCAGATCAGCATATCCATGGGGCTGTCGTATCTTCTTTATTTCTTACGCCAGAACATGCCACCTCAGGGCCACTCTGCAAATATTTGCTATATATCCGTTTCCACTAAGCGTCTTTTATTAGCTAACTGGGACAGGAGCGGTAGGCACGTCTAAATTATGAGGTTTGAAAACGCTCCCTCTCAGAGCCGTCAGTGAAACCTCCCAGATGAAATCTTACAAGCTGGTGATAAAGCTTCAAATAGCCTCCACTAAGAGAAGGGATTAATTATGTGTGATTTTTCAAGTGGTATCTGTAGATTCAACAGATAAGATGTCTCCTTTCTGTCTGGTGCATGCTGTGGACTGGCACCTTTATTGAATCATGCCTGTGAGCTTTCCTTGGCGCTGAATGACCGCACCAGAATCCGTTGTCCATGCAAAGCTCATTATTGCTCTCCTGGTTGAAATTTAAATCTAAAGGGAAGATCAACAATTAGAAAGCTGTGTGATGTTAAGGGAGCCATGGGGTTGGAAAGGCTCAAACAATAGCAACAACAAACACAACGCAACAGCCTTGAAAGAAACTTCTAGGAAATTTCTGCTTTTTTGAAAAAATAAGTTTAGGAGGATCTTTGTTCAAAACAAAACACAAAACCGAACCCACGAGGGTTTCTGCTTTGCCAGTTAAGAGCAATCTTTCAAAGGCATCCCAAAAGAAAAAGTTGGCTCCGCTTTCTGCGTTGCTAGTTGAGAACAAAAGAAGCAAGGGAAAGTTTGACTTGACTTCCTCTGCAATTTGTTTGTAGCATCGGAGCAGAAAGAAATCTCAGGGCCCGGGCTGGTCACTTCCTGAACCAAGAGGCAGAGAAGGCCTGCGTGTCGAATTCACTGCAGTGTGCAGTGATCGGCAGAAATCCTGGCCGGCCGACTGGAGGAGCCCAGAGGGCCAAGCGGGAGAGCGTTTCTCAATTCAGCTACAGTCTGACAAGGTAACTGCAATGTCCTGACTCAGTGTCACCAAACCCCCCTCCCCCCCGCCCTGAGAACGGTGGGCGGGGCCGAGGCTGCTTGCCACCCCCTGGGGTTCATCCAAGACAATCTGCCCTTCTCTCCAGTTCAAAGCCTGCAATGGAACTGCATGGCACCGAAATGACAAATATTTACTTGAAAATAACGTCCAAGTCAGGCATAACTGAAGCAGTGAGGTTCTGTTTACTTCTCTCAGCAGAAGCTGGCTGAGCAGCCAAACCAGTTAGACAACTTTTTTGGGGGGGGTCAGGTATGTACTGACTCACTGGCCACAAACTTCAGAGATTTTAGGAGAGAGGTTCTCTCTCTTTCTCTCTCTCTTTCTCTCTCTCTCTCTCAGTTCTCCCGGGAAGAATGCCTGTGATCCCCTTGCAAACAACAACAAAAAGACTCCAGGCTGGCTAAGCTCATCTGCTTATAGTTTCCGGCAGCGAAGTCACACGGGGCTCCTCGTGAAATCTGTGTGTGGTTCCCCCAGGCTGCCCCTTCCGAACTTTCTATTCGGGTAAGGCCTGCCAGAGCTGGCCTGTTCCCGAGACCTGTGGAGTCAGCGGGTAAAAGGCTACAGAAGAGAAAAATACGGTTAGGCAGTGCAGGCTTTTGGCTCAGAACCTTCCCTGGGGACAGACCTGGTCGGCCTTTGGGGCCGTCGAGGCATCGCAAAACACAGACAGAAGCCGGCGATGATGGCGCGGACACAGACGGGAGGGGACAGGATGAAGAGACAGAGAGGGGTGCCTTTCCTCTGAGAGGTGGATCTTTCTCGCTTAAAAGGCAGTTGCTGGTGGATTACAGAAAACGCCTGTCGTGAAGGCTGGAGGCCACGTGATTGCTGAACGATGACAGATCAGATCATGCGGTGATTTCAGACCCCACCGCTGCTTATGGGGGAGTTTCTCTCCCAAGGTGGAGGGGAGGTTTCAATCCATTCTCTTGTCAATCCCTGCTTCCTGCCAAGCCTCCCCTGTCGGTGTTTTCGAGAAAAAACCTGGGTCATCATCACAGAGTTTCAAACACCCTCCTCCCCCCCCCCCCCCCCCTCCCCGTGTTCAATTAGCCTGCTTTTGAATCCCTTCTGACAGTGTGTTAAATATGGGTCCAAAGTGCTTTTTGTAAGTGGAACTGATCTTGGGTGAGAAACCTTAATTTTCTGAGTGTTAAGAAGCTGCAAAATAATGTTTTAATGGCACCATTTCTAGAAGACTCAGAGATTGTGTTCTTCCAGTCTGTTCTGCTTCATTCTATTCTATAGACGTATGAACATTTCAAAGTACAAAGGGCTATTGTACTAAAAGGACACTTGGATATTCTTCGTGAAGTCTCCCTTGTACTTTTATAGAATGTTTACGAGGTTAATAAGTATGCTTTTTCATCACTGTACATTATACATGGCTCAATATTGCTCCCATGTTTATTTGAGAGTCATTTGAAAGTGCTTGAATGGGGCTCCATGTCCTTTGTTTTCCTTTGATTTGGGAACAAAGGACTCGGAGGAAAAAAACTGGCTTTGCTGCTGAACCCCACACGCAGATCAACCATGTGGTCCCTTGAATGAAACCAAGGAGCTGAAGACTTAGCGCAGGAAATATGCCAGCAGTTACGGCCCGTGTTAGTTTGCCTCCGGTTTGTCCCCTAACGTGGGGCTCAGTTGCACACCCAGGTCTTAGGGGATAATCAAGACTAATCAATAGAAGAGAATCAGCATCAACTAAAAGTTGCTGCGGTTTTCTTGGCGGGAAATACCGCCTGGGTATCAAAAGGCAACAGTGCCCTTGACTCACTGGCTCCCTTCTTCATCTCTTCCGATTTCCCGAGATCCGAGGCTCTTAGCTTCGGCGCCACTGATGAAATTTGGGGCGCCATTGTTCTTCTTGTGGGGGGCTGTCCTGGGCACCACAGCGCGCTTGCCAGCATCCCCGGCCTCCGCCCGCTAATGCCAGCAGCACAGTGTGACAAGCAAAAGTGTCTCCCAGGGCTGCCAAGTGTCCCCCGGTCTGGATCTCTGGCTGCAAACCGGTGTTCTAGAACAGTTCACCCACAGAAACCCTGTTTGAAGAAAGGAGAAGGTGAACTTCATGCTCAGCCAGTTATAGTAACAATGACTGGTTACAGAGCCATCGCTGAAAATCTGAGCGAAGAAAGGAAAGGGAATAGGACATCAAAGGACTCAGAGAAAACTTAGGAGCCAGCCCCTCATCTGACAGGTGAGTCCCGCAGCAGGAAGAGCATTCCAAGGTGCTCTGTCACACAAGGCTTGTCATCAGCAGCGTCAACCGCTTTATAATGTTTTGTTATTTTACCTTAAGTAGTACATGGTTTCGCCCGCCTTTCCCAGTCCCCTTCCTACTTACGGTAGGTTGAAAACAACCTGTCTCAGAATCCATGTCGTAATGGCCCAGAGTAATAGTTACTGAGTTAATTTCAGTGTCTAAAAATGGACATGTACTGCCGTAATAAAACACACACGGGTTTCATGAGATACTGTTAGGACAATAGATAGAAAATGTATTATAACCACTGTGGGTGAATACAGCTATAGGAAGTTTAAAAAATGTATTGAAATATAAAGATATGTTTTAAAAAAAAGATACACAGTAAAACCAGGGAATGCGAGTAACTTATTCCACAAGATGAGCAAAGATTTCTAGTAAATTTTAACTTGATAAACGAGCTGTGTCTTACGAGTCATACGTGACGCCGAACGTCACATGATCATGACTGAACTAATGGTTCTTGAAAGTCGTTTTGCTACACAGGTGCTTTGGATTACCAGCATGTTTCCGGAACAACTTAGGCTTGCAAACAAATGTTTTGCTGCATTTCTGTTTCTCTGGTATTTATAGTTCACATCGAGTATTTTGGTTTAACATCTCAAAAAAGAAGTGATGCCCAGAATAGGATATTGAGGCCTAGACACACACAGGTAATAATCAGTGTTTAACTTTTACTTTCTAAAAAATAAGTCGTAGATTATGAAATGTTTGGAGCTCTGTGACAGGTGGACAGAACGGCATACTGTTGTGCGCTCACCGCTAAACGTCACGGGTCTCCCGGCTCCCATATCAGAGCCTTTACTGGTCCCTAGGGCAGAGAACATTCTTCCATGGCTCCCCCCCACCCCAGGTCCCCGATGACAAGGCATCTCCTCAGACACGCCCCCTGACCCTTGTCTACGGTGAATGCAACCACAAAATGTATTCTATATAATCACCAAAAAGCACTGCCCACTTCCCTTGGTCGCTCGCCACCCAGCCCTGCTTTACTTTTCCTTTATAACACCTCTATTATCATATGTTTGCAGATAATATATATTGGATATTGGATTTGCTTGATTTATATACAATGTATATTGGATTTGCTTCATTAGAAACAGATATACTGTCTGCTTCATGCAACTGGAGAGTAGGCGATAGCTCCTTGAGGGCTTGGTTTTACCTGCCAGGGCCCACAACAACGCCTGGTACCCAGTAGGCACTCAATAAATATCTGTTGAATAAAAACGTGGTTGTCTGGGCAAGCTTTGTGGGCATGAGTGGGCTGGGAACACCTTGGTGTGGGTTGATGAATTCTTGCGCTCTTGTAAATGACCTTTGTCTTTTCAAGTATAATAATTTTACATGTACTATTTAATTGGTTTGTTGGCACGACAAGTTAACTATTCTAAGCAGTTAATCATTTATTCATTTTAAATAGCAGGTTTGGTTTTTGAATAGAGAAAAGTGTAATGGAGAAAATCAATAGGGACTCACAGTCTATTGCTTTGAGAAGGTCTACTGCTATTTAAACAAGGAAATAAACAATAAAAATACACGCTTGTGGTTAGAGACTTCAAATTTTATAGACACGTAGAGAATAAAAAGTAGACACCTTCCCCTATCTACCTTTCTGTCTCCTACCACAAAAAGAAACACCTGTAGCCAATTTGTCATGGATTGTTCCAGAAAAGTTTTCCATGCTTGTAGGGATAAGTTTACTAGCAAAATACACATTCTTTTACAATTTTTTTGAACATGTACACACACAGCAGATGTTTCTCCCACAGCCCTTGCATAGTTTGTACTTAGATATTTATTTGTTTGACTATATAGTGGACATCTTTCTGTCTTCCACCTGACTCTCCCTGCCTGCCCACCATTACGATCCCCATTCCCTGGCACCCAGCGCACCTTCTTTAGGACTCATTTGCTGAGTGAATGCTTGAGCTGGAACATACCTGTCTGACAGCAGCCACTACCTTTGTATTAATGTTCCTTGACAGAAACAGGATTCTTATACCCTTAGTGAAGCTCTTCCAAATGCATATTCAATGAATATTTATAGATTAAAAAAATTGACTGTGTTCTAAAGAGTTTTCACATAAATGATCTCTTGTGATTCTCACGCAAATCTCCTGAAGTGGTTATTATTATTTTTTAAAAGTTTTTAATGTTTATTTTTGAGACATAGAGAGAGACAGAGTGTGAGCATGCGAGGGTCAGAGAGAGAGGGAGACACAGAATCCGAAGCAGGCTCCAGGCTCTGAGCTGTCAGCATAGAGCCCGACGTGGGGCTCAAACCCACAGACTGTGAGATCATGACCTGCACTGAAGTCGGCTACTTAACTACTGAGCCACCCAGGCACCCCTGAAGTGTTTATTTTAAATCCTATTCTTTAAATGAGGAAATAGAGACAGAGAACTCAGAGTGAAACTACAGATGAACATTTTGATATCAGGAAGAAGTTCCAGGCCTCTGTGCTCTATTCATTTTCCTCACCATCTTCCTTTCTAACAGCCCGAGGCAGAATGCTCTGAATGGTTACTCTTGGCTCTGAGCAGCAACTGCTTATGCAGCGTCCATCAGGCCACACAGATACCTTTCACTGGGTCCCTCCAGCCCAGCAGATAAGAGAAACAGCAGAAGACTCTAGATAACAAAAAACCGACCAGAAGACCCTTCATCACAAAAGAAACTTATGATTAGTGCAAAAACTAGGCACCACGGCTCCTGAAAAGCAGGCCTGAGCGGCTCAGACTCAAAACACAGGAAGTAGGTTGTAAATGGCAAAATGAATAAACCGACTTTGCGGGGTGGGGGTGGGGGGTGGAACCGGGGACAGAATCTGCTCTCTGTTGAGATGTCACCTTTCAACATGGGAAGCCTGTAGGGTCCAAATGCCCACCCAGCGCCCCATTTTTCAAGAAGAAACGACCAATGCATAACCCAGTAAATAAACGGGAAGTCAGGAAAGAAGATGCTTTAAGTGAGTTTTAGGGCCTATAAATTGTATCTCAATTAACTTGTTTAAAAGAAGGAGATAGAGCCACACTAATGTTGTTTTCTTTTGCCAGCAGTCCAGATTCACGCGTGCGTGCGTGTGTGTGTGTGTGTGTGTGTGTGTAAATGAGGCCGGTGAGTGCAGGGCATACCAGGATGTGGGAGACTTCCAGGTTACTAGTTAATTCATGTAGAAAACAGGTGTGCAGAGCCCGGGAGGTGAGAACACTTCTCTGGGGGCCAGGGTCTCCTGAGAAGTAAAAACAGATAAAAAAGATGAGCCCTTTTATTTTGCAGGGGTGACTGCGGCTTCCCAGTGACCCTGAGGAACCCAGGCAGCCTGTCGCCCGTCTGTCCATTCTGTGCCGCCCGAGGGGCCGTCTGGCTCCGTCTCCTGGGAGCTGGAGTTCTCCGGAGGCAAAGCACGACGGGAATTATTTCCAAAAGAGACAATCAGTGGCTATAGTGAGA